AAAATTAAAAGTCAAAATTATAAATTTAAAATTAATTTTTTCACTTCCGTTAAATTAAGGGTATATGTGAGCTCATTTTGTAACGGTAGGGGTATATGTGAGTCATTTGTATAATGATAAGGGTATAAATGAACCACTTTCATAATGAGGGGCATATCAGTTCCAAATGACAAAGTTGAGGGGCATATCAGGCCATTTTCCCTATAACTATTGTAAGTTGTTAATTATTGTAATATATAGTACTTTTTATTCATATTTGGAAGGAAAAGAGTCTAATATATCTCTTAGCTTTTTCACTTAGAGCTGATATATCCATCGTTACAAAAGTGGCTCACATATACTTCTATTGTTACAAAATTGGCTCACATATATCCTTTACCGTTATAAAAATGACTTACATATACTCATACCGTCACAAAAGTAATAAAATTAATTTCAATTTTTTTATTTTATTTTAAATATTTAAAAAGATTATGTAAGTTGTTGATTTAACTACAATTTAATTTGTACGAAAGAGGGTCCATATTAACAAACACTTGGTAACCACATATAGTGATGTGTTGGTCTGTTGTCCTCATAAAAATGAAGTTACAATCAAACCAAACAAAAATGCTTAAATATCACCGACAGTTATGATGTAGTGAATAAAACTATTTTTTTAATTAGAAATTTTGCATTCTAATCCTAAATATTAAAAAGATCATTGATAAAAAACGTTTTTTTTTCAAATAATGTTCTATGCAGCATAAGTTCAAATTAATCGAACTCACATACAAATATCGAAATTTGGTGCATGGTCCCTCATACTCAATGAAATTTCAGGAAGATTGTTTCTCTATGTGTAGACTTTAGTGCTTGGTCCCTCATACTCAATAAAGGTCTTAAAATAATTGCACGGTTGATCGAATTTCGTATATTTTGATTAAATAGTATATTTATATTAAATTTATTATATATAAATATTAAATTTTGATCTTAATGAATATAAATTAAAATTGACATTATCAACTCTAAAGATAATGAAAGATTTTATTTTATATTTTTTTTTAAAGACTTTCTTGGGACTAATGCTAATATAAATATGAGGAAATTACATGGTTAAGCAAATATATACTAGTTAATTAGTTATTATACCTATAGTTTTAGTTAATTACCAGTCGCGATCAACATTCAGTAATAATTACATGGGCAGAAGTTTTGAGTTTGTATAATTCAAACGTTTGTATAATTTTTCTATAATGTAATTTTGTATAGTATAATTTGTATAACTGTTTAAAGTTCAGATGTTTATATTTGTATAAATTCGTTATTTTGAGTTTATACAAAAATAACTCAATTATAAAAACATATCCGCAAATTATACAAACGAATCACCTTAAACTATAGCTACAACTCGTAAATATGCAAACTATAGTTATGAAACATAATTAAATTTATAATAATGACTATTTGCAAAAATTCCCCAATAAATATCCCTTCTTCTTTCTCTCTACAAAAGTAGTAACAAAAATTATTTCTCATTTTAGACAGAAGAAATGGCTCTCTCCAAATCCTTGGAAGGCTCAAAGGGACTGTTGCAGAGTCAAGAATTGTTTGAGGTAAATATTTAATTATTGAAATTATTATCTTAAATTAAAGATGTTCAGAATGTATTATGATTTTCTTTTGAAATTTATAATATAAATATATTAGGATATCGGATTTAAAAAATTATTAAATATTCACATACTCTATCACAAAAATTTACTCATGAAAAATATAAGAAATCAACAATATATAAAACATGAATGATTAAAAGAAAGAGATAAGTGTAAAAACACACTTAAACTATTTTTTTAGTTTTATATTTAAATTATTACTTATTAGTTTGAGAAATACACTTCAGTGATGATGTAATACACTCTCTTTTTTGTTTGTAAAAATCTTGCCACATGACATTCTATATAGATAAAATATTCCATCTTGACAAAAATCAATAAACCATTAATATTGTTAAAAACTAAAGATTAAAGTATTACTATTACTATCTCCAAATTATTTTATAAATAAATAAATAATTTTTTTTTCTCACCCCACTCTACCATCTCCTCCCCAAGACAATCCCCCGTCCTTTTATTTTTAAATAATCTTTTAAAAAAAATCCAGATAATTACAAATCGAAACCAAACAAGTTTAAAGTTTAAATAATTAACCAATTAAGTTATTGACACTTTTTGGACTAACAAATTGAAACAATAATATAAATATATATATATATATATATATACTAGTAGGTTTTTTTATCAAAGTTTTTTAGTATTGCATTTTGATGTGCTTGTCCTTATTTATTTTAATATTATTGTGTGATGATGCAAGTATATACTGGAGACAAGTGTGTACCCTCGAGAGGCAGAGCTTCTTCAAGAGATCAGAGTTATAACTGAAAATCATCCAAAGTAATTTTCATCTTGCTTTCACATTTTTACTTGTTATAAAATGTCATACCATAATATATAAATATAAATATGATCTTAAATTTAGCTTTATCTCATATTTATGTCCTTCAATGTTGGGTGTATATAAGTAGGTATTTGAGCTTTTATAAAGTTAAATAAATATACGCACGTGTCTTACGTGACATAATATACATAAGATGTTAAGTAGGACGTATGTACACTTGTTCAATTCAATTTTATATAAATTTAAGTGTCTACTTGTGCACACATCCAATGTTGAGAACATAAATGTCACGTGAAATTAAGTTAAAGGACATGTTTATGAATTATGCAAAATGACATTTTAGCCATCAACTTCTAGAGTGCAAAATCACCTTGATACTTTTTCATTGAAAAGTTAGATTGATATTTTTATTTCATATAGAAATATCACAGAGAAAATGATCAAAATATTCTTAAACTATGCAAAATTTAATGAAAATACACTACCGTAATTGTCTAGGTCAAAAATATCCATATTGTTACTTAATTGGGTCAAAATGTCTTTTTCATGCTAAATATTCTTTTTTTTTATGAACACATTTTTTTTCTAATAAAAATATTATTTTTAAAAAATCCCTTTTCCATTATTTTTAAAAAAAAAATCTCTTTAATTATTAAAAATATAGAAAGTATTTTTCTTTCTTCTTAATGTCATTTTATCAATCAAAAACTGAAATGCTTTCATGCACTTTTTTAACTCGATAAGAAGGATTCTTTTTTACTTTCCACTTATTTATTAGTTAAAGGAATTTAAAAGGAAGAAACAAAAAAATCATAATTCATAAGTAATATTTTTATTAGGTGTAGAATGTCTTTGTTGATAATAGTTATTTAGCTTTAAAATGTCTTTACAGTTAATCATAAGAATATTTTTTAGTCAAATTATTAATAATAGAGGTATTTTAGGATCAAATAATTAGCAATAACTATGGATATTTTTAAATCAAATTATTAATTGAGAATATTTTTATTCAAATCTTCATTATAAAAAAAAGAATACTTTAACCCTTTTCCCAATTATTGTATATTGACTCTTCCTATTTATTTTTTATATATATATATATATATTTTTATTTTTTTTATTTTTTTTATATTTTAACATTTCTTAATAAAATTTCTGACTCTGTCTGTCGATACTTATACCAGGAGTCTGATGTCAACTTCACCAGATGTTGGACAACTAATAGCTCTACTTCAGAAACTGATAAATGCTAAAAAGACTATTGAAATTGGAGTCTTCACTGGATATTCTTTGCTCCTTACAGCACTTACAATTCCTCAAGATGGAAAGGCTAGTCCATCTCACTTTTAAATAGTATTTTCTCGATTTTAATTTATTTATCTTATTTATTTTAGTTTATTTTAAAAAGAATGTTTTTTTTTTTTTGTGATAATTTTTTTAATGTCAAATGTACATGATATGTTTAATACTATTATAAAGTATTTTGATACAATTTTTTAAAAAAATTAACTTAATTTAAAATTACAAGATTAATTAAGAAGTGTTCTTTATCTTCTTAAGGCTAAATACCTAAATAGCCTCAGCACAGTAACAACTATAGCTAATAAGCTAGTATACACGTATTTGCCCGATTACTTTAACAGACGTGTTACCTCCTGATTCCACCTGTCCTGTCCAAAAAGTAAGGAACTCATCTGAAAAGTAGATTTGCTAGTTCAGAACGTGAACTCGGAGAATAGGAGTATACAAGTGAACCACCTAGAATCGATCCATGACCACTAAACTCAAAAAAGGAGGCCTTCACCAAGTAATGAGCTAGGCAACCTTCCCTACCTCAACCGATCTTAGCTCGGACATGCCAACATCCAATACTTACTCTTTTCCATTAGAAAAAATATATATACATTAATTTTTTTTAAATTTCATGTTAAGTCAAAACAAGACAAACAAATTGAAACGAAGTATTATTTTGATATATAAATATGGATGCAGATTACAGCTATAGACATGAACAGGGATACATATGAGATAGGATTGCCAATTATTCAAAAAGCTGGAGTTGAGCACAAAATCAACTTCATACAGTCATCAGCCTTATCAGCCCTGGATGAACTCTTGGAAGATGTAAGTATAAAACTTAAACTGTTTGACTCTCGAAAAACGAAATATGTCACATAAATTGAGACAGATGAGTGACACATTTTTAATGAATAATATATTATATTATATATCTACTTTAAACCTTTACTTATACATTATGTTATTTGCTTAAATTTGTTGTAGGATGCAAATAGAGAAAGTTTTGATTTTGCTTTTGTTGATGCTGACAAAGTTAATTATCAAAAGTACCATGAAAGATTGTTGCAATTGGTGAAAGTTGGTGGTATAATTGTGTATGATAACACTCTTTGGTTTGGGACAGTTGCTATGCCAGAAGAGTTTGTTAAGGAATCACAAAAGAGGAATAGGCTTCACATTATTGAACTTAACAAGTTTCTAGCTAATGATGATAGAGTTCAAATTTCTCAAGTCCCTTTAGGTGATGGAATCACCATTTGCAGGCGACTCTAAAGATTCTGAGGATCTATCAGAAATAATTTATTTATCCTTAAAAGTTAATGTTGAGCTTCAAGTTTATAATTCACCCTTTATCAATATAGATCATGGGGGTAGTGAGTGTCAAATCCAAGACCTTTTGACTGGTCTGTTGTAATAAAATATTGTTGAACGTGTGATCATCTCATCTAAATGTTTAAATTGTTAGAAAGAGCATAATTTCATTTACTTAATACTCCCTTCGTCCCATTTTATGTGGCAATTTTCGAATTTCAAGATTCAAACAAGTCTATCTTTGACCGTAATTTTTTCATAAATCTTTTAAACATTTTGAATTATCAATTATTGTGACTTGTAGTACTTTTTACGTAGTTTACAAATATATAAATTTCATTTCAAAAAATTTGAAGATTCCATCCACAAATTCTCGATCAAACTTAAACTGTTTGACTCTCGAAAAATAAAAAGTGCCACATAAATTGGGACAGAGGGAGTAACATATCAACAACTTGGAATCGCAAAAACATCATTTACAAATGTCACGATCCAAAAAATGAACGCAATGACACTTGTCTATTCCACTAAGACAAGTCAGTCTCAATTCAATGAAACAAAAGAAAGGCAGACAAATAAAGAAGATAAATGCAGAAAACTTATTCATTCTATTAACACCCCAAAACCTGGTTGTCACGTCTACAAACCTCTAATACAAAAAGTGCATAAATGAAATATTTACATAGTCTCAATGTTTTAGTTTCTCAAATAGAACAAAGCATATCATAAAGGAAAAGAGGGTCCACCGGGATGACAAACAACTACCTCTCAATAGTCCTTTGACAAGCCTCGAAAAGTAGGAGAAGAAGGACGATCACACGGTATTGGTCTCGGAAGCTATACAAGTGTAGAAGCAAGGAGTGAGTACCAATAACACGGTACCCATCAAGCAACCTAATAAGCAAAGCAACCTAGCTAGAAATCGAATACTTCTTTCATCTTAACTGAACCTTTTCAAACTACAACCTGCATAGAAATTAGCCCAACCTAATAGTTCTACAATACGCGGCTCACAAGACCCAATATTCACAGTTCAACACCAACATGAATCAACTAAGTCAATCTCAAATGACAAATAGATCAATCACAATCAACAACTAGATCAATCACAAGCTAGTATCATTTCCCTTCTGCAATTGTTACTAGACAAAACCATTTCCCATCAATTTCTTATCATATCACTAGGCGGAACCATTTCTCTTCGATTTTATATCATTTCACTAGCTAGAACCATTTCCCTTCGTCTTTATATTACATCACAAGCTGAAACAATTTCCCTTCAACTTTATATCACATCACTAGCGGGAACCATTTTCCTTCGGTTTTATCACTTATCACTAGCCGAAACCATTTCCTTTCGGCTTTACATCATTTTACTAGCTGAAATCATTTCCCTTTCGGCTTTATATCATTTCACTAGTAGGACCATTTCCCTTCGGCTTTACAACACATGTCTCATCACAGTGTTCAACAAGCAATGCACATAAGAAAATTCATACCACAAGGAAGAAACAAAGATTCGAGCAATTTAAATCCACTTTCAAGCCATCAAAACAATTCATCAATCAATCACATAAGGGCCACAACAAGGCAATTCACAAATCATCATTATCAACACGTTGCCTTTTTATTTAACCCTTTTTATATATTAAGATTAATCAAGTGGAAATAATAAACCCTTCACCTCATCTCCCATTACTCCCAACACACATACAATGAAGAGAAGTAGACAATTCTACTAGATTACTGATCTTAGGCATATTTATATGCCTAGAATGCTAATTATGCCCGCATTTACACCTAGTTTGAATTCAAAATGTATTCGTTTGTAGTCGTATAGAGTCTTTTAGTTGTTTATGAGCTAACCGACATGATTAGTTATGTAGGATGGACAATGGAAGAACACAAAAGATCCAACGCAAAAGAGAGCAATGAAGAAGCTGGAGGAAATGCCACTAAGGCATCGCCATATCCGTTTCGCGTCGTGGAGACGAATTACTTTTTGGCTTGCAAAATAAATTTCTAGACAGAGCACTCCACGCGGAGAGGGATTTTAATTTTGGTCGCGAAAGTCAAATTTAAGGCAGAGTGTTCCGTGGAGAGACCGCGTCGCGAAGAAGAGAAAAGATTCGCATAAAGAAGATTGAAGATACCTTCGTGTCGCGCTCCTTGTGTCTAGTTTTGGCCGTTTCAACTTTTAGTATAAATAAGTCATTGTTTTATTTTATTTATGATTCTTTTTTTTCTGGGTTTTGAAGAACGACAATTTTGGAGTACGTTTTCTGTAGTTTTTAAGGTTAATTCTTAAACTCTTTGCCTTTCAATCATTTGATGATTCATAACCATTGTATAATTGATTCTTGGACTATGAGTAGCTAAATATCCTAGTTCTAGGGCTATGGCTACATGATGATTGTAACTGAGTGAGTTATGTTTTTTTGGGTTGATTATTGACTATCACATGAATCTTTCTTATGTTCTTATTTTCCGTATTTCATGATTGATCACCATAGAAATAAATTCATTGTCCGAATTGAACTCGGGAGAGGAATAAGAGGAAAGAACATGGGGGCATAAGGAGCTTGTTGAACTCTAAATAGCTAGGGTTAATTTGTTTCTAGGATAGGGATATACCTAGAGACCTTGCTTGGGTCACCATACAGGAAGATAACTTAATGCTCGGTAGGTAATCATTTTATCCCCGCTCAACGATGTAGTTAGTGTGTTATCTATCGTAGGCGATTAGAGGTTAAAAGACCATGATCATACATCTAACCCTGTGATTCATTGATTCGATAGTTAATAATTATCCATATAAATGATATTGATTACATGAATCCTGATAGCAGATGCAGCCCTGGACCTTTCCCAAATCATTGTTTGAAACCCGTGAGACTGAATCGTGCTAGTTACATTTTGTTTTAAAATTTAGAAATAGAAATAAACAACTCTTTAAATCTAGAAATACATTTGTGGTTAGCTGAAAACTAGAGAAATTGATAGTTTCTAAGTGTAAGTCCCTGTTGGTACGATACCTGGCTCGCAAAAAGAGCCATTTCATTACTTGTACGATCACGTGCACTTGCGTGTGCGATTTGGCCGTAACAATTACAAAGCTTAAGAGATCACTTGCCTCAATGCAATCAATTAATCAATCTAAGGCTTGTGTTTTCCTCTTTCGAACCACGTCCAAAGCCACACAGTCTATATAAATCAAGTATTCACAATAAATATCTAGAAACAATAATACCCATATCAAGTACTTTGAACAATGGGTCAATCAACTCAAATTCGATTTCAAAATGAAGGTTTGCATTTGAAAATCAATACTTGAAAATGATATTCAAAGCTTTAGGAACTCATTGGTGAAAACCATTTAAAAAAAGGGATCAAAATTAGGTCACAATCTCCATTTTAGTTTAGAACTTAAGTTCTTGAAAAACCAAACCATATGTCAATCAAAATCTCAAATTTTGATGTTACAATCCATAAATAATCAAAGGGAAATGATGTTTTAGGATCACAAAAGCTTACCCAAAAGATTTAGCACAAGAAATCTCTTCAAAAATCGCCTCCAAGAATTTTCCAAGCTCAAAAATAAAAATAGGGCTTAAACCCCATAATTTTAGGTTCAAAAATCCTCTCTAATGTCGCTTAAGCAAACTAAGGTCCGCTTAAGCGAACCACGCAAAAATCTTGGACTCCACTTTCGCGAACTAGCCTTCGCAGAAGCGAAGGTCACGATTGCAAACAAGTCGTGATCGCAAGGGCAACACACCTGGACCTTTGCGAAAGTGACCTATTCCTCGCGATCACGAGGTTCGCAAAAGCAGGCACACCAAGTAACAGAAAACCAGCTAACACAAAAATCATTAAAAAGACCTTCAGAATTCGTTTAGAACCCCCTAAACACAAACCATATGATTAAATTGAATATATTCGGCGTTTTGAACTCAATGAAACAGTCGAAATACTAATCTGAGATCTCATTGACCTGACATCCGTGAAAACCACAAGAAACTAACATACTGCCTCAAAATGTAACTCAAGCTCGGAACCTCACAAAATCAATCAAGACCGAAAATCATCACCTGAATCCAACATAATTCTCAGAATTTTGATCCAAGCATCCTAACCCCGAGTGTTGACCAAAGTCAACCCAAAGGCTAAAATCTCAATAATTTCCAACTTAGGATCTCAATTTCTGAAAAGGACTTCGGATCTAAAATCGACAAGTACTATACTAGATCAGATTCAACATTTTGAGACTGATTGAATTGACGGAATTCCATTTAGACACTTGAAACTTCAAAAGACTGAAAACCACTTTTAAGTAACTTTAGCCTTTACAAACCCAAAACTTACAAAATTCTCAACTTTTTATTCAAAGCTTGGAAACCAACTTTCAAAATTTAAACATAAAGGACTTAGGATCGATATAGGGAGGGCAAAAAGGTAATTTCATGAAAATATTCAAAAATGACCAAGGTCATTACACAAAAGAAGAAAAATTGGCAATGTACTAGCTTGAAAGATACAAACCTAAGCTTTGGTGGGAATATGGTTCAAGGTCCCTCCACCCTTAATTATAGGTCTCGAATTTGAGCACCATGAAGTGGAAAAAATCATGTTGGGACCGCTTCCCACCCCACCCTCGAAATAAACTCTACAAAGTACAAATTCAAATTTAATCAGACCCTAATACATATACCGAAATACATTTGGAGAAGACCAAAAAAATATGTACTAGAAAGATTTGAGATCTAAACAAACAAAGAATCACATGTTTGAAGTGTTGAATTATAGTAGAGTGGTTTAGAAATATAATAGAGTTGTGCACGAGTAGCTTGTCCTGCTATGAATCCTTGCAGGAGCTGATTAAATTTATGCTTAATACAGCTATTCCATATATATATATATATAAAAAAAAAAATTATTTTCCGAATAATATGATAGTGTAAAAAGGATGTATAAAACTTAAATAATAGAAATAGTGACTCGACAACGTC